TTGAACATCGCGATCGACTACTCAAGATTCTTAGAGATCTTGATGGCCACATATTTTGAACGAACTAGGATGAGCTAGTTCTACGAGTGTACACGCTGATATTACTGAATTTATACAAGTATTGTGCATAAATCTGAAAATGACGTGTTAATTTAGTAGACATTATATCCCTAATTTAAAGTACACAGGCGGCTAAAATGAGCCTAAAGCAGTACACAAGGATCTACTAGTTAACAGGGACTGCTATCCCATTGAAACCAATACTGCGACTCTGCGTCAATAATATTTTGCATTTGAAAGCATTTTAGAGTATTGTGTTCAAAGTTCGATGCATTTTGGAACTTCGTCTAGGTTGATGTGTCTGTTGATCGAGGCATTTCTCAGACCCACGTCTTCTGCGTCCGCACTGACGTGGGGTTATAACCCTTGCCCACCACCTCGTCCGCATCAGCCGTGGTCGTGTCCCGCCTGGGACGCATGTGTTGCCATTAATGAATTCGGGGCTGACCGTCCCCGCGCCAGCTTCTGTATGTACAATCTCGTCCGAAGTTTCCGACCGATCTCTACGTCATATCTGCCCACTTCTCAGCTCCTGTGACTTTCCGCGACCTACGCTGCTCCACTTAATGACGTGACCCACCCTCATCTGGCAGTGCAAACCTGCGCCACAGGCGGGATTGGGCAAGCTAATTGTGGGCCCTACAACCCTAACCGTCCATATGTTTGTAATGGTGGCTAGCCGTGTTCGTTTCACGAAATGCTAGACAATAAATACACCCCTTTCGAAGATAGGGGTCGGTGCAGTTATACAGCAAATTGGTCCATGGTTGTATCTCACACAGGGGAATGCCATTGCGTTGAGCACTCAGAGCTCAGGTTTTCCGGTAAGGAGGAAGTTGAATTTAAACTGTGGTAGAGGGGCGCTCACCGATCGTTTCTGCGGGACCCACTCTTCTTGCTGTGTCTTACGGGCTCTCACTCGAGCCCAACCAGCAGCCGTACAGCGGCGCATGAAGTAGGCAGAACGGTACTACCAACAAAGACAAGGAAGACTGGGATGGCCATTTCTGGCTTGTTAGTCGTCGTCGGCCAGTCATATCCAACCCCGAAGTGTGGAACACCTGAGGCTCGATCCCGCGACCTGTTAGTTAGAAGTCCAACACCTCTAACCACTAACTGTCTGTAACATAGTGGGTACATGCGATCAATTATTTTGCTTATAATCGTGTGCCGTTCGTCGGGTGGTAAATGCGGTTCTTTTCTAATTACCGTGAGCCATGGTAAATGCAGAATCCACACTGGCTTGTCGACCACCTAGATGGATTTTGCTAAATTACACTGTTCACTTTCATGAGAACTAGGCGGGCGCTTCGTCAATTAACTGGGTATTGAAGACTGGCTTCTTATTGTAAGATAGCGTCATATTGTCAGTTTGAGGGCTCCCTGAGGACACTCCGTACTGCATATCCACACTAACTTGGACCGCTTTTTTCGACTCGCGTGCTTTTCGTTCTGCACTTTTGCCGTTCGTTCAAGTTGAAAAGCAAGCCAGGAGTTCCATAAACATTTTTGTGTGTTACGTAGAAACTCGGTTGACCAGTGCAACCACACGACGAACGCTAAAAGCATAGGCAGATAGACTTTCGATTCCAGTGCCAAGCCAAATTTGTGAGATATATAGTCAAACATCTGAGACCGGAGTTTTCACCCTTATTATCGTCATTTGGTTGCTCTTTTTGGCGACGTATTTGCCTTGTATATTTTGCTGTTCCGTGTTTTGCAGGCCGTACAAAGACAGTTTATGGTGGACGCCACCGGAGTAGTTGACTCCACGCTGACTCCGGAGATAACCGAAAGGTACGAAAACGCGCGAATTGTAACAAATAAATAAATGCTGAATGTGCTCGCTTTTGAAGGACTCAGAATGGTGCGCTATGTTTAGATGCATGATTCTCGTTCATTTCTTAGCCCGTTTAAAGAATCTGCGCCCTTGCATGGAAATCCACTTCCGACTGAACTAGATTTCTACCGATTATGAATTCAGAATTCCAGAGCAGTGTGCATAAGTGTACAAGCATGTCAGTGGATGACATAACCGCATATTTTGTGCACATTTCCTTGGCTTCAAAATATAATTCGTCTTTGTTGCAATTGCATGACAATCATGGTAACATGTTTTTTTAAGATGACACATAATTCGGAGTACGGCTTTTCTTTAAAGTGTGGACGGTCTCTACTTAAGTGCAAAGCTGGCGAAAGGTAAGCTTCTACTATAGGTATTCACACTAATTTTCTGCGTGTTGGGTGTCCAGTAGCTCTCTGAGAGTGCAACAGACCAAATGCAGACAGCTGTTTCACGGTAATTACCGATCATCAGTACTTCATAGGCCTTATGAAGTGGGGTAGATAAACGTGTAAATTGAGCATGTCACCCTCATTGTTGTGGTTAGGATCTCACTCGACCCCATTCTGTCCGCCCGCCAGCTTGCTACTGGCGACAACGAACATTGTGTCATTGGACATATACCACATAATACGTAAGCAGCTCACTAAGAGTGTAAAAGGCCAGACGCAGACAGCTGTTTTACGGTCATTACCGATCACCGGCACATCATAGATTTTATGATTTCACACCAGCAAGCTCCAATCATCTTCATTGTCAACAGCATTCTGGGACTTTTTATGCTTTGGCGGACGGAAGGCGTAGCAAAGAATCAAATTAGATGCAGTAACTTCGGTAGAGGGTTCTTGCGCCCTTGACCTGTGCATCTGGATATGACTTACCGAGCTAGTTCGTGGCTCTATCGTGGGTGGGCAGGAAAATGCACCTAATTTCAGACTTCAGGTTATTCTGATCTGGCGCTTAGGCATGACTGGCTGTTGGCAGCAAACAAGCGGATGTGGTCATTCCAGTCTCCCTCGTTCTTCTTTCCAACACTATACAATAACTTTGCAATCAGAGCTCTATGGCAAAGTGGAGCGCCCATATCAAGCAGTGAAATAATGATAATTTTATCAAAGACAGTCTCATGAGTCTTTGCACATTCTCAATTCCGGTCGGCATGGCGAGCCCGTAAATCAGTAGTAATTCACCTGCTTAGTGACAAGATGAACATGATTGGAACCATTGCACTCACTAAATCTGAAGTTGGGCAGACGACGGAGAGTAAATTCAAAATGACCATTTCGAACTCTTTTGTTTTTGCCTGTAAAACTTATAGACTATCGGAGAAAGAGGAATTTTGACCAGGTCAGATTAATTATATATTTGACGTTTCAGAGGGCTTTGTTGTTTCGCTGTTATCAGTGTTAACTGCACTACCACAGAAATTTGAATGACCTACTGACGTAGATGGCCTTGAGTTGACCAATTTTCTCCCTCTTTCGCTGTTTACGTCTTTAGACAGAGGCTTGTCAGGCTCGATAATTGCTTGTGTTATTAATTATCACCTAGACGGAACGCTCGGCCAGAAACGAACTCATAATATCCACCGCTAATTATTGTGGGATGTAGATGACTAGTAAAAGAACATCATAGAATACCATGGATTTACCTGGCCCCACTTTCCTGTGGTTTAAGCGCTCAAGGAAGTGATTGGCGGAGTCCATTGCTGTTGGTATTTCGACCAGAAACTGAAAATAACCAAACATCCATTGTTTCAAACCATATACAGGAATGGCATTTACTGAGACGATAAGCTTGAATGGTATGTTTGGTCTTCGGCAAACCGTAATAACGTTCTTTGGGGGCTGGCAGATCTTTGGAGGGCCATTCACTAGGCATGATTGATTTGTTGATTATGAGTTATGTCAGAATTCTTTATAAGGGTAAACAGGAGTTCCACCTTACACGTCCGGTATGGTTCATAAGACTCCTATTTACCGTATAGGCTTTGAGCTTTGCCGATACAAGCGAAGATGCGAGTTCCAGGAACTAGTTGATGAGAAGTAGGAGCGATCGCTGAAGCAAGGGCTTTATTCGCCTGACGATTCGAATTCTCACTTGCGCGACCGAGGACGGCCAGCGCCGTCGACTGGACTGTGTCCCGCTGTTGACACCGTTCTCCATGGAGGCGTTCTCGTCAGCGGCGGCGGCATCAACGACTGGAAGGTTGGCCAGTCGTTGGGCCAGCTCGTTGCTGAAATGTATGTGGTGAGCAAGCAAAGACAGCAAGGTAATACTTAGCTTATCTGGGGGTCGCTTACCTTGAGGTCTCCTGCGGGGCTGTAGGAAAATTCGCATCTTGGAGATGAAGAAACGATGGCCACTCAGCCAGTCGGCACCCAGGATCGCCTTTGTTACCAGCACGTCCCGCTGGTCTCTCCTCCGGACGAGGACATAGTCCAGCAGGTGTCACCGACGCGACCGAGGATGCATCCAGGTGGCCTTCTCTCGCTCCGGCAGGCAAAAGAAGGTGTTCGTGAGAATGATTCGGTGTTCTGCGCAGGTTCGTAGGAGGAGCAGGCCATTGTTATTCGAGCCGTTGGGACAACGAGGACCTGGCGTTCCTTTCCAGGCAGCATGGTCTGTGCCGACGCGGGCGATGAATTCACCAAGGACAATCAACTTATCAGCCTTCGACACAGTCGCCAGGATGACATGCAGGTCATCGTAGAATTTGTCCCTTGCGGCGTCAGGGCTGGTTATCGGTGGATCGTAGACGCGGATGATGGTGGCGGATTTGCCTCCCCCAATGAGGCAGGTGGAGGCTCATCAGCCAATCGTTGATGCCCTGCGGCAGACAGGGCAGTCGTCCCACGATGTTGTTCTGCATGGCAAAGGCGACGCCCGCGTCTCGGGCTGTCTAGAAGAAAACGAACATCCCAGGCTGTCAGAGTGAGCGGACTCACCCTGCCAGTCTGACGAGTGGGACGGCGGGGTGGAGGAGGAGGAGGAGGAGGAGGAGGAGGAGGAGGAGGAGGAGGAAGAGAGTGTGTTGTTTCTTGTTTAGTTTTTCCGACCATGAGTTTAACGTGTGCGACCACGGTCAGCCTGCAGACGGCGTTGTTCCCCAGCATTTGTTTAGGGCACCTTTTCTAGCCCCTGACCCCTCGCGGGGGTGAGCAGTGCTATCCCTAAGTAGGGCTGCGTAATTTTGTCAGGCGCTGCCGAACTCTACTATGGGCCACGTCTTTGTTTAATGGAAGAACGACTCGAGTTAGCATGGGACAGCCTGCGACATCGCCGTAAGCTTGTGGCCTTCTGTGGTTTACCAGACAGAGCCTCGTCTCAACGATGCCGATGCGAAGATTCATCCGGCCAGGGGAGTCCACATTACCGCGCGCGCAGATGTACACACGGATACCCTCACCTGGTCTAGCCCGCCGGTCGAGGCGATCACCGGGGTGTGGCCGCTAGGCAGACCCTAGCTTCGGGATGCCATATGTGAAAGTTGGGTGTCAGCAAATGGACGCCGGGCGTAGTCTGCACCTGCAAGCAAGTGAGCGACCTACTACGACCGTCACGTGAACCCACCGCTAAACACCCCTACACCCCTGATGCAGACAGTGTCGCTATGAGACGCACGCAACCAGAAGGATTATGCCCTGGCTGTGCGAGTTGTGCACTTCCACAGTCAACATTTAAAATTAACTGTTATCTATCAACAGTTTTGACTAAATGGAGTCGTTTGATGGCATAATTTGAAGTGCTCCCTGACCCTTGAAAAAGGAATCGAATAGGAAATTACTAATTTTTTTTACTTCGTTAACGCTCAAAAGTCTGTTAATTAGACGGCTGTCAGAGTACCCCCCTTTTTAAGTTCCTTTAATTTCGCTTAGCTGGACACCTAAGCTAGTGCTGCAAATACTAAATTCATTTCCCAGACGCGCCTTAATATCGGACAATGGATCAAAAGCCCTGTAAAATTTTAGATTTTGCTTCTAGGAAATCATTTGTTTCCTAATAATTTACATAAGCACAGAGTAAGGTCGGTAGCAAAAGGCAAAAGGGGTAGATTTTGGTGTTAACTTGGCGTTCGAAGGCGGTAAGGCGACTTAGCTAACAATTCCTGGCAGAAATCGAATTGTTATGGTTTAATCTAAGTACTCGTGTAAATTAAATCCTCTTCGGCCACGATCCAGGTTATAGAATCTCGTATCATTATTCTCTTCAAAAATACACCTGTTTCATTCATGGGACCTCACCAATTAAACTGTCAGCAGAAATCTGACCAGCAGGATTTACTTCCTTTTAGGTAGTGGCCAGGACTCTGCGGCATTACTTTTCATTTTTAAATGGCTCTCACGACCGCTGTTTTTTCAAATCCTCTGGTCCTATTATCCTGTTTCTATCGGTTACGTAGCAAACCTTGCTGGGACGCCAAAATACGCTTTGATTAGTCACTACGAATAAATGCTTATCCTTTCTCTTACTCGTCTTTGATAATTGGCAAAATTTCTTCATAATTTTGTACACTGTCTGTCGATCACCAAGGGTATTCAATACAGGAGTCCTAAAGATATGTTCATCTGCAGCAATAGGGCGACAATCAGACATTG